TCTCTTGTCTTCAATAAGGGTTACTGTAATATCTTTCAGAGTTATTGTCTGAATATTGAGTAAAACTATTAGGTATCCAGGGATAAGTATCTTTTGAAAAAGGTTTTTGAAAAGACAATTTTTCCTGGAGATCTGAGAGTTTTACTCAATATAGGTACAAGGTATTGTTTTATTGAATTATTGTCTGAATCCCGATATACATGCTAAAAGGTACAACCTCCTTAAGTTTTGTCTATGAGTGTATCTTTCAGAGCTATTGTCTGAATCCCGATATACATGGTAAATGGTACAACTTCCTTAAGTTTTGTCCATGAGTGTATCTTTCAGAGTTATTGTCTGTATCCCGATATACATGCTAAAAGGTACAACTTCCTTAAGTTTTGTCCATGAGTGTATCTTTCAGAGTTATTGTCTGAATCCCGATATACATGCTAAAAGGTACAACTTCCTTAAGTTTTGTCCATGAGTGTATCTTTCAGAGTTATTGTCTGTATCCCGATATACATGCTAAAAGGTACAACTTTCTTAAGTTTTGTCCATAAGTATATCTTTCAGAGTTATTGTCTGAATCCCGATATACATGCTAAATGGTACAACTTCCTTAAGTTACGTCCATGAGTGTATCTTTCAGAGTTATTGTCCCGATATACATGCTAAAAGGTACAACTTCCTTAAGTTTTGTCCATGAGTGTATCTTTCAGAGTTATTGTCTGTATCCCGATATACATGCTAAAAGGTACAACTTTCTTAAGTTTTGTCCATGAGTGTATCTTTCAGAGTTATTGTCTGAAACCCGATATACATGCTAAAAGGTACAACTTCCTTAAGCTATGTCCATGAGTGTATCTTTCAGAGTTGTTGTCTGAAACCCGATATACATGCTAAAAGGTAAAACTTTCTTAAGTTTTGTCCATCAGTGTATATTTCAGAGTTATTGTTTGAATCCTGATATACATGCTAAATGGTACAACTTCCTTAAGTTTTGTCCATCAGTGTATATTTCAGAGTTATTGTTTGAATCCTGATATACATGCTAAAAGGTACAACTTCCTTAAGTTTTGTCCATCAGTGTATGTTTCAGAGTTTTGTTTGAATCCTGATATACATGGTAAAAGGTACAACTCCCTTAAGTTTTGTCCATGAGTGTATCTTTCAGAATTATTGTCTGAATCCCGATATACATGCTAAAAGGTACAACTTCCTTAAGTTTTGTCCATGAGGGTATCTTATACACCAATACATGACAAGAAGCTATATCAAACAACTGGCCCTCGCTGTCAGAATCTCCCACACAAGTTTCTTGAAGGTAGCGCTTAGTCCAGAGGATGGCAAACTGCGGCTCTTCGGATGTGAAACTGCGGCTCTTTATATAGTTCCATATGTAAATATTATTTATGCGAGTACTATTTATTGTTGTCAAGAAAAACAATTGTGGTTTATCAAAAACTCTTTGAAATTTTGTCAATTGAGTTTTCCGACTCTTCCGTTTGCCGAGCCGTGGGTTAGCCGGATGCCCCAGGTATAAATTGGGCCTACCTCCAAACAACCGTTATGATAACAGTTTGTGCAGCCCCCCGCGGCCGTGGAATCTGACACTAATGGCCATTCACTCTGTGAGCATTCCGCGGTTGATTGGAGCCGCCCACTGCTGGCTAGGTCATTAGGTCTTGTCAGATTCCATCCATACATACATACAAACATTAATATAACAGTTCCTTGTGGATCATTACGATGTTTTACCCTTAGATCTTGTTCTTTTAGCTCATATTCTCACTTTGATCTAATTCTTTTAGCTTATAGCCTTGCAAAGAATACAAATGTCAATGGATGATACGTTAAAACTGTTTGAGGATTAGTACAATGTGATATCCCCGTAGTGCATCAGTTATAAATTAAGACGAAACCTTGTGGCTTGCAATTCTGGGTTCATAAGATATAGTAGGTTAAAACGAAACCTTGGGGCATGCATTCCTCAGTTCATAAGATACAAGTTTCAATGAAATCTTGAAGTTTGAAAATTACTCAGTAAAAAAGATAAAAGTTTAAATGAAACTTGAGAATTGAATTCCTCAATTCAGAGGATATATACAAGCGCAAACGAAACCTTGAAGTTTGAATTCCTCAGTTCATAATATACAAGTTTAAATGAAATCTTTAAGTTTGATTTCCTCAGTTTTAAGAGATACAAGTTTAAATGAAACCAAAAATCTTGTATACTTCAGTTCATAAGATATACAAGTTTAAATAAAACCTTAAAGTTCGAATTCCTCAGTTTTTAAGATATAAGTTGAAATGAAACTTGAGGTTTTCATTATTCAGTTCAGATGATACAAGTTTAAATGAAACCTTGAAGTTTGAATTCCTTAAGATAAAAGTTCAAATAAAACTTCGAAGTTAGAATAAAAAGAATAAAGTTCATAAAAGTTCAAATAAAACCTTGAAGCTTGCATTCCTCTGTTCATAAGATATAAGTTAGTGAAATCATGGTCTTCAGGTCAGCAATATTAGTGTCCTCGTAGGCTACAAGTCTACAATAATGGTGATGGCAGTGGTATCCAGGCCTACAATAATGAGGCCGCGTGGTCTCCAAGTCTACAATAATACAATAATGGAGATGACTTCTCTCCAAGTCTACAATAATGGAGATGACTTCTCTCCAAGTCTACAATAATGGAGATGACTTCTCTCCAAGTCTACAATAATGGAGATGACTTCTCTCCAAGTCTACAATAATGGAGATGACTTCTCTCCAAGTCTACAATAATGGAGATGACTTCTCTCCAAGTCTACAATAATGGAGATGACTTCTCTCCAAGTCTACAATAATGGAGATGATTTCTCTCCAAGTATACAATAATGGAGATGATTTCTCTCCAAGTCTACAATAATGGAGATGACTTCTCTCCAAGTCTACAATAATGGAGATGATTTCTCTCCAAGTCTACAATAATGGAGATGACTTCCCTCCAAGTCTACAATAATGGAGATGATTTCTCTCCAAGTCTACAATAATGGAGATGACTTCCCTCCAAGTCTACAATAATGGAGATGATTTCTCTCCAAGTCTACAATAATGGAGATGACTTCCCTCCAAGTCTACAATAATGGAGATGATTTCTCTCCAAGTCTACAATAATGGAGATGATTTCTCTCCAAGTCTACAATAATGGAGATGACTTCTCTCCAAGTCTACAATAATGGAGATGATTTCTCTCCAAGTCTACAATAATGGAGATGATTTCTCTCCAAGTCTACAATAATGGAGATGATTTCTCTCCAAGTCTACAATAATGGAGATGACTTCTCTCCAAGTCTACAATAATGGAGATGATTTCTCTCCAAGTCTACAATAATGGAGATGATTTCTCTCCAAGTCTACAATAATGGAGATGATTTCTCTCCAAGTCTACAATAATGGAGATGACTTCTCTCCAAGTCTACAATAATGGAGATGACTTCTCTCCAAGTCTACAATAATGGAGATGATTTCTCTCCAAGTCTACAATAATGGAGATGACTTCTCTCCAAGTCTACAATAATGGAGATGACTTCTCTCCAAGTCTACAATAATTGTAACGGCGAAGTCTTCAGATACAGTATACTAGTGAGAGATGACGTAGGTTAAAGCCTATTATGATTGTAATGAATAGTAACATAGATTTATCCTGAATAAAATAACACATTTCTTCGGGTACTCAATCAACAAATACTAGACTTCTGAGCCTTGCATTCTATTCTAAACCGATAAATTTGCCGAGAATTCTAGCTCCAGTTGTCTTCCAGAAGTAGTCAAGTCCGGTCAATCTCTTCCATCATGGATTTCGATAAAATCCATAGCGTTGTCATTTAGAAAATCTTTCATATTATTCTGAGCAATACATTCTATTCTAAACCGAGTAAATTTGCCGAGAATTCTAGCTCCTGTTGTCTTCCAGAAGTAGTCAACTCCGGTCAATCTCTTCCCATATACTAGTAGATTTCGAAAAAATCCATAGCGTTGTGTTTCGGAAAATCTTTCATATGATTCTGAGCCATACATTATATTCTAAACCGAGTAAATTTGCCGAGAATTCTAGCTCCAGTTGTGTTCCAGAAGTATTCAAGTCCGGTCAATCTCTTCCATCATGGATTTCGATAAAATCCATAGAGTTGTGTTTTGGAAAATCTTTCATATAATTCTGAGCAATACATTCTATTCTAAACCGAGTAAATTTGCCGAGAATTCTAGCTCCAGTTGTCTTCCAGCAAAAGTCAAGTCTGGTCATTCTCTTCCCATATAGATTTCGATAAAATCCATAGCGTTATGTTTTAGAAAATCTTTCATATGATTCTGAGCAATACATTCTATTCTAAACCGAGTAAACCTGCCGAGAATTCTAGCTCCAGTTGTCTTCCAGCAGTATACCAGTCCGGTCAATCTCTTCCATCATGGATTTCGATAAAATCCATAACGTTGTGTTTTGGAAAATATTTCATATGATAGGAGAGAAAGAGAAAATTTCTAGTTACCACAAAATTATTTGTTCTGAACGTAATTTTCTGAGATGTCATTTTAATCTGATGTTCTACACGTTTATCAATTCTGGCGACAAAATTAAAATATTTTCATTTTATTTATCATTATTTGATGATAAATTCAAATTTTAAAGATAAACAATATATACAAATGTGATTTTAATTCTTGGAGATAAATATTTAGAATTTTGTGTAAAACTGATAATAAATGTTTGTTTATTCTTAAGGTTCTCTCTATATGGAACCTGGTAGTGAGAGATTGGGTTGGAAATCAAAGAAATATTTAAACCTTGTTGTTAAAACTGTATAATACAATATAATGCGGCTTATGATTGTAGAACGACATTTGACAATTATCCCGCATGTGTTTCTTTTGAACGAAAAATCAAAATTTATCTCAAGGGGAAATAACGATTATTTCTAATCTTAGGGATGAGGTATGAAAGGATGAATTGTGAAGAGTAATGATAAACGGATAATAAAAGTGTCCAGGAATGGGAATCGAACCCACAGTGTTCCGCTTACAGGGCAGATGCCATGTCCACTAAGCTACCTCATCCCTAAGGTTAGAAATGATCGTTATTTCTTCTTAAAATGAATTTTGATTTTTCGTTCGAGAGAAACACATACGGGAGAATTTTAAAATGTCGTTTTAAAATTGTATAATACAGTTTTGATACAGCATTAAGCTCGCTTAAGAGTTCCAATTTAACATCTATCTTAAAATTCATACACCACAGTGTTAATTCAACATATTGAAACATATAAAATGAAAAGATTTAAAAGCACGAATGTTTCTTTTATACATATAACAAGCTTCTACCGCCCTTACTGCGATGAAAAAATATATTGGGAGGGCTTGGCTCATCAGTGGTGAACCCTCCCAGCGGTTTCTCCAATTTAATCCACCAGACCGCTTCTCAGAGCTCTAATACTGTATTGGACGATTCTGCTTATATATGCTACACTGAAGGGTGGAATCTCAGAAATGGTTTTCAAGAAAACTATGGACATAAGCTTATAGGACAGTAGAATTACATTCAAATATGCATATATATTGCAACATATATTTTTAATGCCTCTCTATAAAGTATTTATTTTCGACAAAGTGAGAGAAAATTGTGTTGGTTTTGTGTTGTTATATCAAATATGATAATGCATTAGCGCGTATTTGATAACAGATGGCGCGCTAACGCATCATAATATAATTTCCATAATAAAAGACACAAATTGATATTTGCGGAAGAGCGATTGCTCGAAGCATATTATATATTTATAATTGTATGTAATTCTACTGTCCTCAAAGCTTATGTCCACAGTTAATCTAAAATACCCATTACAAGAGTCTAGCAACAGTATCACTATAAAAGGAAGATAGAAAAATGCAATATAACAGCGGTATGGCAGATTAAACTGGCGAGACCGCTGGGAGGGTTCAGCATTGATGATCCAGGCTCTCCCTTTAATTTTTCCATTGCAGTAAGGGCAGTAGAAATTGTTTAATTTCAAAAAAGAATCATACGCGTCTATAATAGTATCAAATTTGTATCAAATATAACCAAAAAGGTTAATTTAACTTATTATTGTATCAAATGTACACCACATTGTTGATTCAACATGTTGCAACATATATTTTTAACGCCTCTTTATAAAGTTTATTTATTTTCAACAAAGAATTTTGTTATTTTCATGTTGTATCAAATGTAGGCCACATGGTTGAGCTTTGAATCCTCCTTATTAAAGAAATTTGCTTGTAGTTCTTTAATAAAGTGTTGAGACTCGCTGCAATTAATTCATTTTGAAAATCTTATAATTAAATCACATTATTATGATACATTAGCACGCCATCTGTTATCAAAATTCGAAACTATTATAGATGCTTTGAGTCAAAAGGCGATCCATTAATTAATATTATATAAAAGGGCGTATACCCTTTTGAGAAATAATTTCGAGAAAAAAAATGTTTTTTTTTTATCTTCACAGATCCAGGTACGCCCTTTTATATAATATTATAGATGCGTATGATTATTTTAAACAATTTCTACTGCACTTACTGCAATGCAGTATAATGAATCTATTACAGTAAGGGCAGTAGAAATTGTTTAATTTTAAAAAGAATCATACACGTCTATAATAGTTTAGAATTTTGAAGTCATTATTATAATCATTTATTATATTATCATTATTATCATTTATACGACCATAGAAGAGATCCAGGAGAACGACCTAGAGCAGATGACAGGAGACCTGACAGACAAGAATGGATCAAGGCCAGGGGACCATCTTATCGAGGAGCCACCAGGAGGGGCCATAGAAAGACTCATGGAGTGCTGCAGGACATCAGGAGACCATATCTGCAAGGGCCATAGCACTGACCAGGAGTCAATATAGCAAATGTAAATATCTTAGTTTACTTTTACTGTTGTCATTTATTGAAGTTGTAAATAAAAATATGTAAATAGACTGACCATTCGTTACACTTTTTAGAGAAAAACTTGTAACCTTTTTGAAAAATAAATTATCATTTATTATTAGTCATTATTAGTTACAAAATCGTCAAAAATCATTTCGACAATTTTTTTTCAGAAGTAAAAGACGCGGTGACTTATATCATAATTGTGGCGAAGAAAATTTTTATTATTTAATTTAATATTATTCAATGAAAATATTCAACCGATCATAAAAATATATATTACTCTGTATAATACACTGCGGCTTGTGATTGTAAAACAACACTTGAAGTTACACCGCATGAGTTTCTTTTCAATGAAAAATCTGAATTTATTTCAAGGTGAAATATTGAATATTTATAAATCGTTAGAAATAGTCAATATTTCACCTTGAAATAAATTTTGATTTTTCATTGAAAAGAAACTCATGCGGTGTAACTTCAAGTGTTGTTTAACAATCATAAGCCGCAGTGTAATTATATTGTATTATAAGTTACTTTTTTGTATTATTTACGAACGGAAAATACATCCAGGGTAGCCTAGTGGACATGGCATCTGCCCGGTAAGCGGAACATTGTGGGTTCGATTCCCATCCCTGGACACTTTTATTTTTCCGTTCATCATTACTCTTCATAATTCACCCTTTCATACCTCATCCAAAAAAAGGTTAGAAATAGTCAATATTTCACCTTGAAATATATTTTGATTTTTCATTGAAAAGAAACTCATGCGGTGTAACTTCAAGTGTTGTTTTATATATTACTCTGTATTTGTATATAATCATCTTTAAAATATTTCTTTGCTTGCTTGTTCAAGATTCTCTAACTGTAGATAGTTTGGTTAATATTTGTCGACTAGTCGCCGTGACGTCATCAATAAATACTTTCACATCTCCAGATATACAAATACTTGATTTCTACGCTACCATATATAAACCTATTTCGAATCAAATAGATGCATTTTTATTATGTAAAGATTTAAATATGGATTGCAATAAGACACTTATTAACTGACTGCCCGCTGACCTTAGGGAACTAAATCAACTTCCCATAACAAATATGCAACATCTGGTTTACACTAAGGACATACACCAAAGATTCAACAAATTCTGCAGAATGTACTTAACTAAATAAGTGACTACTAATGTAATCAACTTGCATACTGATATGTAAATATGTATATATCCCTTTAAACTACTTTTTCTTTCTTTGTTTTTCATTCAAATGCATATATTTCACACGCAAATATCCGAATTGTGGAAATAGCGTGTATACTGCAATTTTTAAATAAATGAAATAATGGATTGCAATAAGATCAAAAGTTAAAATTCGTGAGGAGAAGAATTTCTTGTACGATTTTTATTATTTAGCCGAGATTTTAGAGCATTTCTATCCTTCTAAACGAGTAAAAAATTGAATTTTCATTTTTAATTTTCATTTTTTCCACTGTAAATAAAAATTCTTACAATAAACTCTTCACTGATTTTGTTCTTTTGATTATTTGCTTTAAACGATTATGTAACCTATGATATGGATTCGAAAGCTAGAATTCTCTGAAATGTAAGCAATAATAATAAAAAAAACGGCTTCCGAGGGTGTTTCTTCCTTTATTTATATATTTCCTCAAGCTTCCAGGCACCATAAACCCATCTATAGGAGTATATGACAGAACGCTGTAGAGAGGTTTATTCATGATAAAATTGTGAAAAAAAGTATTAAAATTACAATTATATTCTCACAATGAGTAAATTTTTATTTAAAAACGCTAGCTTTCAAGCGTTAATCGTTCTTCAACGGGCTTACTATAATATTGACTTTATCCCACCAGAAATATTTACAAAAAACAAACGCGCGCAGCGTGGATATCTACTTATATAATTGCCTTATTCTGTCTGTGTGAAGTTCACGGATAGATTTTGGTCAGAATGGATAAAATAAAAAAATTGTCAAGGGATGGGAATCGAACCCACGACCTTCTGCCTACCGGGCAGATGCCATGACCACTAGGCCACATGACCACAATTTATAATTGTAACAAATAGTATTTGAATCAAAACATTCAATCGGGTAAAACACGGGCGTTGCCCGGGTCATTCGGCTAGTTTATAATAACCGAAATTTTGAGAAAATATGTAAATAAAGCAAGAGATTTATCCTTGGAGACCGTTTATTATCATTATTGCTATAATACGGATTGTTATATTTTCAAAACATATAGAAATAAAAACAAAAAATACATATCCTGACCGCAACGGAAATATATTTATTTACGGGGCTACTAAATAGAATGGATGATTTTTGAGCCCCGATGGACGCATAAAGCGGAATATATACATTGTACTGTTGGAGGGGCCTGGGGATGGGTGGCCAGGGGATCATCGCCAGGTGAGGCCAGGAGAGCCGGGATGTAGAGGAGGATCAGTGGGGATATGACCAGGCTCACATGAGCATTTCTAGATGCCAGAGCGCCATCTAGTGGAACAAAAATAAACTAAACGTTTATTTAACTTGTTCGGTGATATTTGACTAACCCAATTTATTGATAAATCAAGATAAGTCAAACACGTACGCGTTTAGAACTGTTGGCCCCCGTCAGTGTATTATAATAATAAAACAGGATTGCATGACCATTTATAAAATCAAATATAAATTCTGGGGACAAATGCCGCGCAATGATGTTTATTACATAACTGGGCAGGTCTTGCTTCTTGAAGCCAATGTCTGCAGAGTTCTGTCTGAAGCACCTACGGCAGATGGTGAGGACATGCTTCCTGATGATACCGTGGTACAAACATGGCAATAGCGAAATCCAGGTCCTTGGGTGAGAATACCAGATATTTTGGTGGCCTATTATGAGAAATAGTATTCTTTATTAAGAACTTGCAATGTGAAAAATTATCTAAATAGCTTAACACTTTACACGTGTTTAACAAAGTCAATAGTGAAAAAGAGGGGGACAAATGTTCGCAGGCCGGATTGTGTTATGTGGCGGGATGTATTCAACATGGTTCATCGTGTGGTATTCTATATTAGATAATTCTTGAACAGACTAACGTCCGAGATAGCTCAAGGTTTCTTAAGAAAGCAATTTCATCCTTGACTTCCCGAAC